TGGAGTCGATTCCGCCCCATAGTAACCCTGTATAGGGTTTCCAAGGAGCAGCTGTTGAGTTTGAACTGCTAACCTTGCAGTCTGGCGCATTAACCCACAGTGCCACACCAGGACTTCTCCATATAAGGCCCGTGAAATCATTTGGTCTGACCCTGTCAAGTAACTGAATTTCCAGCTATCACATTGTTATTGTTGTTAAGTGCTATCCAGTCGGTTCCGACTAATAGCAACCCTGTTTAGGGTAGAAGCGGCTGGTGAGTTTGAACCACCAACTTTGTGGTTCAGACTGACCTTACGGTCCAGTGCTTTAGCCCACAGAGCCATTCCAGGAGCCATCACATTAGGAGTGAGTTAATGATATGTTTGACCAAATACAGCAGGCTAATTTTTAAGGTGATAATTTTGTATGGACCACGAATGATGTTATAAATTTTGGCAGAAAAAGATTCCCCACCCCTGCTGTATAGTATGCTGACAGGTACTGTAAGCATATGCTGGTCAGCATGCCCGTTCCTAAATAGTCCTTACCTTAACTGTAGAGTAGTGGAGCAAAGTTCTGTCACCTGCCACTGGCAAATGAATTTTAAAAGTCTTGGGAAAGGGCAGATGGGTACATTGCCCAGCTGCTACACAGTAAATGTGGCTCTATTCAAACCACTATCTCACTCTGCCATAGAATATTTTTTGCAGACTCTGCAGACTAGGGGAACAGAGCCTGATGGGAAAGAGGTCACAGCTGAGCCATTAGGGAATTCCCACAGTGGGGAACTGATATCAGCTGATGTAACTGAAGACTCAGAGAAGTATTTGCAGTGGGTGATGGTATGTATGGTGTGCAGCAAGAGGTTGTCCTCTATACAATGAGGACCTGAGGTCCCGTCTAGCTCTTCATCTCTAATCCTGTCATACAACATGTATAGGAAGGTGTGCTAATTTTCTGTGCTGTGTAACAGATTACCACAAATTTAGTGACTCATTGTTCCTGTAGATCAGGAGTTCAGGCAGGGCTTAGCTGGGCCCTTTGCTTAGAGTCTCTGGCTGCATTCTAAGTGTCAGGCAGGGCTGCAGTCTCACCAAGGAACTCACCAAGGAACTTCCAAGTTCCTTCACATTGTCTCAGAATTTATCTTCATAGGCCCTCTCACAATGTGGAAGTTACCTTTTCAAAGCTAGGCTGGGAGTCTCTCCCTCTCTACCTTCTGCCAAGATAAGAAGTCTTCTATTATGTAAACTAATCCAGGCATTGACATTCCATCTTCACTTCATTCTGTTGGCTCAAAGCAAGTTACAGGTTCTATGCATGCTCCAGGAGAGGGGATTGCACAAAGACATTAGCACCAGGAGCCAGAGAATTCTGTTTAAAAGAAAGGAACTTCACTAGAAAATGCTGCAAAAATACTTGACTAAGGGCCAAGTCTATTATTATATGTAACCATATTTATTTTTTTGTTGAAAAGAAGCAATTTTGTTATTTTTCTTTCTTCTTAGAAAGCTATCAAATCCTGGTTCAATACTCTGCACAATATATTGACTCCAGTTCCATCTTTATCAGTTGCTGGCTGTACTTTATTAGAAATAATATTGTTTTTGTGTGTTTATTTGGGGGTGTTACTACTAAATTGAAATTCCTCTTTTGTAAGAACACAATATATTTACTAAGATTATGTTGAACACTAACTACCATGTAGTTGTCAGTTACGATCAAGTTGATTCTAACTCATGAGGACCCTGTGTGTGTCAGAGTAGGACTGTACTCCGCAGGGTTCTGAGTGGATGGTTTTTCAAAAGTAATTCTCCAAGACTTTCTTCCAAGATGCCTAGCCTTTCAGTTAGTAACCAAGCATATGAACTGTTGGCACTATCTAGGCACTTGTTGTCAAATGTCGTTGAGTCAGTTCTGAACCTGCATAGGGTTTCTGAGGAGCAGCTCGTGGGTTTGAACTGCCAACCCTGTGGTTTGCAGTCCAGTGCTGATCCTACAGCGACACATCTAATCATTTGTAAATTATTTTTCTAGCCATTTTCTTTAGAAAAACAAAACCAGACCCACTACAATCAAAGTAAATCCTTTAGGGCCTGCCCCATAGGGTTTCCAAGGCTGTAATCTTACTGGAAGCAGGCTGCCACATCTTTCTTCCTTGGAGTGGCTGGTGGGTTCTAACTGGGGGCCTTTTGTTATTAGCTGAACATTTAACCACTTTGCCATGAAGGCTCCTTTACCTTATAAACCAAACCAAAACCCAGCCCTGCCATCGAGTCCGCTCCAGTTCATAGCAGTTCTACACAGGGTTTCCAAGACTGTAGTAAATCTTTATGGGAGCTGACTGCCTCATCTTTCTCTTTTTGAGTGGCTGGTGGTTTTGAACCGCCGACTGTTTGATTAGTATTCCAGTGCCTTTCCCAGTACCACCAGAGCTCCCTCCTTTCATTGTTGTTGTTATGTGCCGTCAAGTCGGGTCCAACTCATAGTGAAACTGTATAGGGTTTCCAAGGAGCATCCCGTGTGTTTGAACCACCGACCTTGCGTTACCAATATAGTGTTTTTCCTACAGTGCCACACCAGGATTCCTTTCCTTATAGGACTGTCAGTTTTATTTAATTAATTTTATTTACATACAGAACTTTGCCACAAAATACTATCAGTCTTGCTAGGGGGAATTCCAAAGCAAAAGGGAACACATTTTTTTTTTTAAATATACCTAGTTATACCTAGTCCTGGTGTGGCACTGAAGAATAATGCACTGGACTGCAAGGTCAGTTTGGACTACAAGGTTGGAGCTTCAAACCCACCAGCTGCACCTCAGAAACCCTATGCAGGTTCACTATGGGTCATAACTGACTCAATATCACTTACCAGCAACAATTTCTACCTAGGGAGTCCTGGTGTGGTGCTGTGGAATCGGCACTTAACAGCGACAACAACAGTTACACCTAGGAGTTCTGGTGTGGTGCTGTAGGATAAGTGCTGATTACCAACAGCAAAGTCAGCAGTTCAAACCCATCAGGTGCTCCTTGGAAACTCTATACAAGGTAAACAATAACAGTTGCACCAAAGGAACCAAAAACACTTTGGTCGTGTGCCTGTCTTTTCTACTATTGAAGGAAAGGGCTAAAATCCTAGGCATGCCCAGAAAGTTATGTCCATGGCTGCCTTTAAAAAGTGCTGCTGTGGTATAGATTATGGGTTTTTAAGTCGTTCAGGGTTTTTTTTCCCCCTGAAGTAACGTTAAGATTCGTGAGTGCTTGCTAAAACAAAAACTTTCCTCCTGCTTAACCTAGGGTAACAAAGCTCAGCTTCAGGTGGGAACTGACCTTTATTTACAATGATTTTATGAAAAGGCAGCACTAATGAACTCTGCAAGGGGCCCTGGCAATGCAGTGGTTAAAGCACTTATCTAAAGGTCAGCAGTTCAAACCCAGCAGAGATGGCAAAGTGATGAGGAGGCGACAGCCTAGAAAGCCTTACCACATAGTTATTATATTTTGTCCTGTTGGGTCACAGTGAGTCAGAATCAACTCAACAACACACAACTGTGAGCCCTGCAGCCTCAATTGATTCTAACCTGGTCTGGTTTGTTTGTTCCCCAGCTTTCTCCATGGTGCCGAAAGGATTGGATGGTGTGACCAGCTCTCTTGGAAGCCTCACATGCCTCAGAAAGGTCTCTTGGACCACATCCTGTTTCAGAGCCTCTTCTTAAGCTACTTGAGGAAAATGATGTGATAGTTCTTATCAAAAGGGATTTTTCTGGAACATATAACATCTGGGAAGAAAGTGGTCCTTTTCTCTTTTACAAAATAGACATTCTCAAACTCCAAAATGCCAGCCAAGACCCCGATTTACCTGAAAGCTGCCAATAACAAGAAAGGAAAGAAATTCAAACTGAGAGACATTCTGTCTCCTGATATGATCAGTCCTCCCCTTGGAGATTTTCGACACACCATTCACATCGGCAAGGAGGGCCAGCATGATGTTTTTGGAGACATTTCCTTTCTTCAAGGCAACTATGAGCTTTTACCTGGAAACCAGGAGAAAGCACGTTTGGGCCAATTCCCTGGGCATAATGAGTTTTTCCGGGCCAACAGCACCTCTGACTCTGTGTTCACAGAAACACCCTCCCCAGTACTCAAAAACGCCATCTCCCTCCCCACCATTGGAGGGTCCCAAGCGCTCATGCTGCCCTTATTGTCACCAGTGACTTTCAGTTCCAAGCAGGAGTCCTTTGGCCCTCCAAAGCTGCCCCGACTCAGCTGTGAGCCTGTTGTGGAGGAAAAGGCTCAGGAGAAAAGCAGCCGGCTAGAGAATGGGACAGTCCACCAGGGAGACACCTCTTGGGGCTCCAGTGGTTCCGCGTCTCAATCCAGTCAGGGCAGGGACAGCCACTCGTCCAGCCTCTCCGAACAGTACCCCGACTGGCCAGCCGAGGACATGTTTGACCATCCTGCCCCATGTGAGCTCCTCAAGGAAAAGACGACATCAGAGGAGTCCCTCTCTGACCTGACAGGCTCCCTCCTCTCCCTGCAGCTCGACCTAGGGCCCTCACTTTTGGATGAGGTGCTGAATGTCATGGATAAAAACAAGTAACAGGACACCAGCCCTTTTCCTCTGGGGTGAGAGGTACCCAAACTAACCACAGTCGAAGAGGAGAGATTCACTGGCTATATTTGCAGTTGTGCCATGGGTTTTCTAAAATGCCATTCTTACAAGATATTTTTTTACCTAATGTGTTGTGTCCTGTTTGCAAAATAAAACAGCAAAAAACCTATCCCGGTAAAAAGAGGAAATGAGTCAGTCAGACAGAGCCCAATTGGGGCGGGCATTGCTGATGTTCAATTTACAGTTTGTTTGCAGACATTAACTACGGAATCTGGTGGCTTGGCTGGGATTGGCACTAGTAATGAAGGGCTGGGCGAGTCACTGGAAGGACCTTTACAGTGCTTTGTCATTTTCTGAGCAAGAAAAAGCCAAAATTATTTAACACCAAAACCTTTTTTCTAGACTCTTTTCTATATTATATAGCTTGGGCACACCATAGCAAGTTCTCCAGTGCTGAAACTTTTCTCTTGTTTTCACATTTGATTAAGGGTTTTGGGGATTTTCTTGTAGTTCTTATATATCCCTATATATTATATCTATATTGCAAGATTTTGACCATCAGCTTCGTGTTGGTAAGACACAAGCAAAGTATTACTGTAACTAAGTTATTTTTAAAGTTAAAATATATTTTTATGTGCCTTTGGCTTTTTATTGCAGAGTCTACATTTTATAGATATTGCATCAAATGTCATTTGGCTTGTCTCCATTGGGGTCTCATTGTAAGTTGTGTGTGTTTGTATTTGGAAAAGTGTATACATGCTTAGCGTTACTAATTTTTTTTTCTACCTGTTACCGTATTTCTAAGAGCAGCCAACAATGGATTGTAAATTACAAAGGCACAGGTTACTTATAATGCTTCTGCAGAGACTGTGGGCTTCACCACGTAATGTATTTGGAAACCTGGGTATTTTAGTACAGTACATACTTGCATTACATAGGTACTTCATGCAACACAATAAAGCGTAAATGCTAAAACGAACCTGCTTATTTATACACAAGAATGTAAAAGTATTTTCTTTAAGTCTAGGGCTTTAAAGGGTCTAAAATTAGTGAGACTGTAAAACAAGGTAAGATGTGATTTCCCTCCACTCTGTAATTTTCATTATTTACTGAAGGTTTGAGATTTCAGAAATGGGGCCTCTCAAGTTTAGGAAGAATATACATAGGAGATCAGAGGGTTTTTCAGAGTCCACACTGATGTCAACCTTTCTTGGTTCATTTCTGTGAATCTCCTCCCTTGGTTAACACTGATACAGTACCCTGACTGGCCGGGCCACTTGTAACCCCAGCCCCATCCCTGTGGGTAGATGTTTCCATGCAGCTCATAGTTTATAAGGAGTCCTGGTTTGGCTCTGTAGGATAAACACCGGATCGCTAACCACAAGGTCAGTGATTCAAACCCACCAACCACTCCTTGGAACCCTACTCAGTGTCACTATGAGTCGGAACTGCTTGACAGCACGTAACAACAATAAGAGATCTCATCTACAAAGTCTGTTGTTGTTAAATGCCATCAAGTCAGTTCCAACACATAGCAGGCCTGTGTTGAGTGTTCAAGGCTTTAAATCTTTGGAGGAGCATAAAGTCTCATCTTTCTCCTGTGGAGCTGCTGGCAGGCTCAAACTGTGAACCTTGTAGTTTGTGGTCTGGTGCTTATCATATGGAGCTCTTAAAGGGGGAAAAAAATAAAAAACAGTTACCACCAAGTTAATGTATATCAAAGTAGAACTGTGCTCTCTCTCTAAGATTTTCAGTGACTGATTTTGGAAGATTGCCAGGTCTTTCTTCTGAGGTACTTTTGGGTGGACTTGAAACCCCCATCTTCACAGCTAAGCATTTGTGCATTAACAATTTGTGCCATCCAGGAACTCCAAGGAGCACTCACACCCTTTGGTCTCCCCTTCAAGGACCCAGAGATGCTCTGAGGATGTTGGCTAAGCAAACAGGAACAGGAAATGTACACACTGACTTCTGTCCCTTTGTCAATCATCCTTCCTCTCACAAGGGAAAAACACTTGCATACAATAACTGCCAACTCTGGCTCTCTAACTTTCCGGACTCTGTGAAATGTATCCCTGGAATGACCTCACCAGTGACTTCCATAGTTCTCACCGGGTTTGGAGTTGCTTGCAATTCTACCACCTGCTCATCTGAAATCAATGTTGAACTGCCCATGAAATGCTGTTAGAGCAACTGATCCATTCGAAGAGATCCCTTAGAGGATTGAGTGCTTTCATAATGTACCAATTCTATTTCTTTATCCCATAATTTTCCAGCCTTCTTTTTTTTCTGGTCAACAACACCCCACCCACACAGATCACAATTTCAGAGACTTTCCCAGCTTCTCAGTCTTGTTAATGAGATTGAGTTCATGAATCTCATGATTGTTAGCCAGTTTTAGCTACTCAATTTCAACACCTTTTATTGTCAATCCTATAAAATCTCTTGCTCTACACTTAGTAGCATAACCTGAAGAAGATTACTAAGTGAGATGATGAGAGCTGTCTATGCACGTCCTCTGCTCACAGGTACTGAGACAGATATGGAGGTACACATAGGGAAAATACTAGGTTTGATACATTCTAAATAATAATGCATCCTGCATGCATTTAGCCATGTTATTCTCAGTCCTTTCACAAACCGTTTCTCCCATGAGATGACAACAAACACACCCCCACTGGAGAAAGGAAACAAAGCCACACCCGATTTTTAAACTTTTCTGTTGAGTCAATTGTCTCTGCCAGCCCTTCTAATGCCTGGTCCCATCTCCAGGGAGGAGGTGCAGAGCTGCTGGAGTTTTGTGTTGTAGGGAAGCACTTGAGACTTGCGCCTGCTGAGAGCTGCATCAGTGTTGTCTCCAGCCCTGTGAGCACTCTCCCACTTTAAACCTAAGTAAGCTTCACTTGTTTATAGACAAGGAAACCCCAGATGCACTTTATCTGCAAGCTCAAAGAATGCACAGCCATTTGTGACTCAGCTTCTGGATTCAACAACCGGAAGATACCCAACCGTAGGTTCTTAGTGAACTCCTTCCTGGGCAGCGAGGCCTAAAAGAACATGATAGATAAGTTCTGCCTGAAAAGTATCTGCTTTAAAAATCAAAATTGTGTTACTTACCACTTCACTAAATTATAACTATTTTAGTGAGCCCAAATCACTGTCAGCGGGCACACACAGGGATAAAATGGTTGGACAGAAAATAAAACCTAGGGCACCAGGATCATGATTTATAGATTCTGTTTTTAGATTACTGCAAGCTCCTATTTCAGATTAAAGAGTGCTTCAAACACTTGAATTAGTAAAATAGGGAAAATCTATTTGGTTGTGAATTAACTTTATAAATAGGCAAAAAACATACATGGGTTGATGAGTCTCATCCTCCTAATATGGAGCCTAGTAAGAGTGAAGTATTTTATTGTGAAATATATAGATACTACAGTGAGCCACCATGATGATCTCTCTCCAGTAAGAGCTGTTTGTTTGGAAATTGTATTAACAATCTATCCCCCAATTGGGAGTCCTGGTGTGGTGCTGTAGCATAAGCACTGGTCTGGTAACTGCAAGCTTGGCAGTTGAAACTCACCAGCTACTCTTGGAAACCCTATACAGGTTCCCTATGAGACTGTACTGTATGACACACAACAAGAGTGTCTAGACGAATATGAATGTAATTGACTCATTTTTCCTTAGTCAAGTCAATGAGTCATAAAGGTCGGGCTCTTGGGTCTCCATCAAGAAAAATAAGACTAGATTCCAGATGCCAATGATAAGTCACCATTAACTCAGATGGGCAGCCTTCTAGTTGGCTACATGGGCCTGAAAAAAGCCATACTACTCAACCAGCTATTGGTTCTAAGCTGGTGTGGCACTGCAGGATAATGTGCTTGACCGCAAGGTCAGTTTGAACTACAAGGTTAGCTGTTCAAACCCACCAAATGATCCTTGAAAACACTATACAGGGTCGCTGTGGTTCAGAACTGACTCAACAACATTTAACAGCAATAAGCAAGAAGATGGTCTTCCTGGTAGGTTTGCTGACACATTTGTTTCATCTCAGTGTACCTAGAATGATGCCACTTGCTTATTTCAGTGGTACACCATATTAGTCAGGAGCCTTCCATCCGAAGATGTTTCATTTTCTCCATATTCTTTGATAAAATGCTTATGTGTTGTTGTTGTTATGTGCCAGGGAGTCGGTTCTAACTCAGCAACCCTGCATAGGGTTTCCGAGGCTGTAAATCTTTACTTGGGAGCAGAAAGCCTCATCTTTCTCCTGCGGAACATCTGGTAGTTTCGAACTGCTGACCTTGCGACTCGCAGCCTGATTCATAACCACTACGCATATTATGTACCTCTAAATACCTCTCACCTGAGTTATCAAGGAGTCATGATTCTGTGGTAAGGATGCTACAGAGAAAGTCCTGTGGAAGAATGGAAACTAGGCTTCCTTGTTATATAACAATGAAGTCTGCTTTACAACTGTTAAGCTGCAGTTAATTGTCATCTATTGTTACCTTTAAAAAGCTGATGCTGCTGTCCCTTTCATTGGCTTCCAAAGACAGGCTAATGATTTTTATCCTTTGGAGGCCAGCCAGCTGCCCTTCACAGAAAGCAGATTAACATGGGTGAGAGAATATCTGCCCAAATCAAAGCCATTGTACAGAACAGAATTATTATTCTAGAGGTACATCATGCCAGCAGAGATGTCTGCCATACATCACAATTATTGGAGCTAAACAAGTGAAGTGGGTATTACGCTCCCCATAAAACAATTGTTGATCTATGGTATAATGCATGGGATTCGTTGTCAAAAGGATAAGGGGTGGTGGGGTGCGTGGTGTGGGGTAAGACTGGAGGGGAAGAGAGTTCTGTTTTAAAGAGAAAGACCTGGAATTGCTTCATGGACCTACATAGGGATCTTAAGGGACTGATAAAAATTTTTTTAGGAGGAAGGGGCATTTTGGAATCCTGGTGTGGCACTATAGGATAAGAACTGAACTACTAACACAGGTCAGTTCAAACCCATCACTGGCTCCTCAGAAACCCTTTATAGGGTCACCATGAGTTGGAACTGACTCAGTGGCATTTAAC